CACGGCAACACACGTCAACGCACGGCAACACACGGCAACAGATGACAACACCAAAACACGGCAACACACGGCAACACACAGCAACACATGGCAACAGATGACAACACCAAAACACGGCAACACACAGCAACACACGGCAACACACAGCAACACACGGCAACGCACAGCAACACACGGCAACACACGGCAACACATGGCAACAGATGACGGCACCAAAACACGGCAACACACAGCAACACACACGAACATACGCGAACACATGCTAACACTGCATCACACCGTCTACACTGTAAAAAACACATCTGTACACATCTGGCAGCACGGCACCACAACAGATGCGTCTGCTGAAAACTGTAACACAGAGTGACGACAGCAGCAAGTATCTGTCAAATAAGAATATTTTCAGCAGATTTTATTGCAATAAAACGGTGTAACTAGTGGCAACACGCTGTACAAGAATAAATTATTTGTAAAAATACTGATTTTTGTGAAGGACAGTATTTACGTTTTTGATCAGTTTTTTTTTTACAGTCAACGTGTAAACTGCTGATGTTTTGTAAAATAGCATAAAGTAGAATACAAGCAAACTCTGTGAAAACAATTAAAATGTATTCATTCACTTTTTTCAGGTATAAAATTACTGAGACCTTTGTGAAATGATATCCGATATCCAGGTTTCTCAGCTGTTATGGCTACTGTCCAGATAACTGATATTAGTCATGGCGGGATGACCTGGATTATGGCAGTGTTGTAGTTCACAGAGTGACCCGGTGGTGGCAGCAGCATCATGTTACTGTCCACTGTTGTCCACAGCTTCAAGAACGGATCTCTGACGAGAGAACGCGTCAGGAACGAGTGTGCTGGAGGATCATGGGAGGTTTTTTCTGCCATGTTGAGAGACACGCCGCTTGGAAACAACGGCAACATCGGTGAGGATTCCTTTCCTCGTTCCTTTCCTCGTTCCTTTCCTCGTTCCTTTCCTTGTTCCTTTCCTTGTTCCTTTCCTTGTTCCTTTCCTTCTTTTGCTCCTTCATGTCCTCCATCCGATCGGTGTTGATTGGTTCTGTGGTGCGCTTCCAGGCTTTTATTTTGACACCGTGGAGATCACTCCTCCGGCGGTGGGCGTCCATCGCTTTGACTCCGACGACGGCGAGGTTGGTGAACAGACATTCAGCTGAAATGGTTCTGTGCCAGTCTTTGCTTGGGGATTGTCATGTCTCACCTGTCTCACCTGTCCTGGTGCTGCAGGTGTCCTCCCTCAGTCCTCAGGTGGAGGTCCGGGCTCTGGTGGAGGGTCAGTTTCTGTCCAGGAGGCTTCATGCTGAGAGGCTGGGATACTCCATCCGTAAGAGATCATTCATTCATTCATTCATTCATTCATTCACTTGTTCATCTGTCCATTAAATCATTCATCCAGTTATTCACTCATCTGTCAGTCATTTATTCATCCATCCATCATCCTGTCATTGAATCATTCATCCATTCAGTTATTCACTCACTCATTAATTTATTGATCCATTAAATCATTCATTCAGTCACTCATCCATCCATCATCCATCCATCATCCATCCATCCATCCATCCATTATCTGTTCATCTATTCTTCCATCCATGTATTCGTTCTTCAGTTCACTCGCTCATTATTTCATCCATTCATCAAACGTAACTTTGTGTTTTTAGTTCCAGGAACCAGAGTTCTGGCGACGGGAGGAGCTTCATCGAATAAAGAGATCCTGCAGGTCAGTTCTCCTTCTGTTCCTCACTGTGTGCACACGGTTCTGCTGTTACTGCTCCTGGCAGGACCACAATGTAGAACCCTGAAGGAACCAGAACCAGCNGTGCTGGTCCGTACTGGTCGGTGCTGGTCGGTGCTGGTCCGTACTGGTCGGTGCTGGTCGGTGCTGGTCCGTACTGGTGCGTACTGGTGCGTGCTGGTCCGTACTGGTCCATACTGGTCTGTACTGGTCTGGTTTGTCCTGTGTGTTGCAGGGCTGCATCTCCTCATACTTTGTGCGTCGATGTGGTTTCTCTGAGAGCTGCAGCGTCGTCGCTTTTACTGGAGACAATCCAGGTAGGAGGACCTGAGACACTGATGTCACTTTGTAGATTTTAATTTTTCAAACCTGCCGGTGGCGTTAAAACAATGACAAACGATCAAAATGAGCTTCGAGCGTCACCGTTTTCTGTTTCCATCATGAAGTTTTGACTGAAGAAACATTTTTAGCTGGAGCTTTGGTGAAAACCACTAAAAATTAGAGACCAAACCCAAAGCTGCAGCTGGATTCATGCTGTTGGAGGTAAAAACCCTGACAAGCAGATGAGACTCCTGTGAGAATAATGTTCCAGCACTAGATGGCGCTGCTGTTTCATTAACAACGAGTCTCCCTTCACACGTGTTGAAGTCCTGTCACTCGTCTTCGTTGCAGCACTTTTGCTTTCCTCTGTCGGATTCCAGTGTGGCTGAAAACATTCAACCTTTAAAAAGTCAAACCTTCAACTCCAGGACGAGTTTTTTACAGTGTAGACGTTGTGATGCAGAGCTAGCATGTATTTTCCAGGACGAGTTCCTGAAGCTGAAGTGGACCGATGGGTTTCTTTGAATCTTCTCTCCACCACAGACGGGTTTCATGAAAGCGGGTTTCCTTCTGTCGCTGTGACACACAGGCGACAACATTTTAAGAAAAAAGAACATAAAAATGTATTTACCTGTAAAATGTGGAGAAAAAACTAAAAACTAAACTAAAATTAAAAATCAAAGTGGAAAAAATTCAAGAAATTAAAATATTAGAATTAAAATATAATAAAACAAATTTATATGAAGTAAAAAACACACTTTTTGGACACTTTTGTGCTCTGATGTCCACCTTGTTCATGCCTGTGTGTTAGCATCCAGGCCACTGACACATTCACTCTGTTTGGCAGCGTCTCTGGCCGGAATGCGGCTGCAGCGAGGCGACATCGCGGTAAGTCCAGTCTGCCGCCGAGCTAACGCAGCGTTTGTGTTGCTGCCGCTGTGTGTGTGTCACTGTGTGTGTTTGTGTGCAGGTGAGTTTGGGGACCAGTGACACGGTGTTCCTGTGGATCCAGCAGCCTCGGCCGGCTCTGGAGGGTCACGTGTTCTGCAGCCCGGTGGACCAGGAGGCCTACATGGCTCTGCTGTGGTAGAGACACACAGCAACACACGGCAACACACGGCAAC